CAAATATTACGGTGCTTATTACTTGCTAGGTGCTGAAATTTGATAGAAAAATTTACGTTAAAAAAATATGTAATCTTCAGTGTCACATTTATCTGGGAAATCGATTTTTATTTCTCGCATGAGATTTGGTTAAGCTTATTTTTCACAATCTGTTAATCTCAAACTAAAGCTGTTGAGAACAGTTTAACTCCGCAGGGTAAGAAATTCATCCGTAAGGCAACCTGTTTGATGGGAAGTAAAATAAGGATCAAAAACATCGCGAGCCCTTATGGCCTAAAGGTTTATATTATGCCTGGACTTTAAAGTTTATCATTGTGCTGAACTGTTAGAAATAAATAAGGGCAAAAATTGATTAATTGGGAAATCGTATAGGTAGTAAAAATACAGTGTTTAAGAACAGTTAATAGTAATTGAAATTGATTGAAGGGCATTTTGCCTTTGAGGCGTTAGAAATATGGGTTCCTTCCGGTCAATATGTGTATCCGGGTACGAAAAATTCTTTGAGTTAATATCAGGAACTGTTTACCACGGGATTTATATCACAATTCTAGGTGTGTTCTCAACTAGATAAGTATTTAGTACATTTTCATATTGGCTAGCGGGAAAAGTGTAAGAAGGATGGCTAAGTTGCAGGTCTTCTGAACTTTTTTCCCCATGCCTGTGCCACTCTTGGGAATACTTGGTGGTTGGTAATTCTTTCTGTAGAGAATTTAAACAGCTTATGTTTGTAATTAAATCTGTAGAGGATTTGACATGGCATTCGACCTTGTTTTGGATGGAATGGCTGTGCGAAACAAGCAAAGAATAAATTCCAAAGTACCTAGTTGCTCTAAAAGACTAAGGGGCGAATTATTAAAGCTTAATATTTAAGTGGTGAATGTGAGAGGTGTTGACTGGGAGTGTGTAACAGCTTGCCTAGGAGTTAGGAGAACTACATTTTAATCCTTGCTCACATAAGAGGACTTAAGACTTTTTTTTGACCTATTTGAATTTTTAGTTTCTAATTCAAATTTTTTGTGGCTAGAAGACTAAAAATTGTACAAATACAGTTTTATTATAAGCAGTATATATATATTTTTTTTTCTTTTTGGAGATTGAGTCTCTTGTTGTCCAGGCTGGCATGCAATCAGTGGCACGATCCTCTGCCTCCCGGGTTCAAATGATTCTCCTACCTCAGCCTCCGGAGCTGGGATTAAGGCGTGCGCCACCACACCTGGCTATTTTTGTATTTTTAGTAGAGGCAGGTTTCACCATGTTGGCCAGGCTGGTCTTTTAATTCCTGACGTCAGTGATCCACCCGCCTCGGCCTCCCAAAGTGCTGGGATTACAGGCGTGAACCACCTCACCCGGCCACAGTTTTTTAAGTTAGTAGTTATTGCTACTATTCTAATTACTATTCGAATAGTAATTAGTATTACTACTATTCTAATTACTATTCGAATGGTAATTAGTATTACTACTATTCTAATTACTATTCGAATGGTAATTAGTATTACTACTATTGTAATTACTATTAGAATGGTAATTAGTATTACTATTTCAGTCTTAAAATAATTTATTGTCTCTGGGGAGCATTATTTGCTCTTACTTACTATGTATATTCATGTGTTCTCTTTGGAAACAGGAAGATTTTTGTTTTGTGCATATTAGATTTACTAGAGGATTGACTGGTGAGAACCAGAACGTCAAGGTGTAGCATAATTGCAGGTGTTCTCAATATTTGAGTTTATTAACATTACAGGAAAAAGGGTTTCTTTGGGACATTTATTGTGTTAGCTTATGTTTTTTTGGATTCATTTATATTGTATCAAAAACATTTGGTGCTCAAACTTGATTCTGTCACATTACACTGAAGGACAGGCACTTTGTTTAAAGAATTGATTCTAAAGTAGGAAATAACAGCTTCCCCATTTAAACTCTTCACAGTCGTTCTCAAACATTAGCTGACATCAGAATCAAAATAGTTAAAACAGATAGCTGTGATCTCTGCCACCAGGGTTTCTAAGTAAGTAAGTCTGGGGTGGGGCCTGAGAATCTGCACTTCTAGAAAGTTCCAGTTGATGATGCTCATGTATCACTCATTCTGAGAGGTACCCTTTGAGAAGAAGGGATCCAAACCTCTGGCAGGTTTGACAAAGAATAACTTAGAGATACTTTTATTTAAAACTGTCTTTTGAGTTTTATCTAAGGATATTTTTTTTTAATATTTAATTTTTTTTTGAGAGCCTCACTTTGTCACCCAGATTAGAGTGCATCTCAGCTCACTGCAACGTCAGTCTCCTAGGCTCAAGGGGTCCTTCCACCTCAGTCTGCTGAGTAATGCTGCTAATGTTTTTTTGGTAGAGACGGGGTTTTGCCATGTTGTCCAGGCTGACCTTGAACTCCTGAGCTCAGGTGATCCATTCTCCCCAGCCTTCCAAAGTGCTGCGATCATAGGCGTGAGCCACCCTGCCCAGCCTCTAGGAATGCTCTTGATCGAAAATGGTACTGAAGTTGGTCTTTTTATGAGTGATAGTACCAGTTTAATATAAGTAACATCTTGGGAGATAACTTCTTGACATCAAAAGATAGACATGCTTGCTTTTCACATTTTTCTTTAAGCCTGTATCTTGTAGCACATGTACAAAGGATTTGGTGTGGTTGAGCTGTAAAGTTACAGATCCTGAAAACTGTGTACCAGGTTTGGGTTCTGGCTCCAAGAAAATGGAATGTTTCACCCTAACTGTATTTCATAAACAAGCATTCACATGTACATTTCCTACAATTCTGCACAAACTTTCTGCAGTTTGTACATTTATACAGTTTCACACATCAAATGTAAAAACTAACCTGTCATTCCTACACTGTTCTACTTTAAAACAATTTACGGTTTTAGTTAGTACCTGTTGCTGCTGTAGTCATTCGTGTATAGTTGGCTTAAGGAACACTTCTGAAAGCTCAGTTAAACTTTTTGAGACAGGGTCTCACTGTGTTACCCTGGCTGGAGTGCAGTGGCATGATGGTAGCCCACCGCAGCCTCAAACTCCTGGGCTCAGGTAATCCTCGTACCTCAGGCTCCTCCTAAGTAGCTGGGACTACAGGCCACTATATCCTGCTAATGTTTTATTTTTAATAGAGATAAGGTCTCCCCATCTTTCTCTGGCTGGTCTTAAACTATTGAGCTCAAGCCATGCTCTACCCCACCTCCCAAAGTGTTTGGATTACAGGTGTGAGCCACCACCCTGGCCTTAAAATATTTTAATTTCCTGAAATTTTCAAAGAAGAATAAGACCTCATGGCTAAATTGAAAAGTGAGTGTAGCTAGTTTGTTTGCACAAGGAGCTACAGTCGAATTGCAGTTCTTATTTTAGCTGATGGAACAGTTGTCATGTAAATTTTTAGTATGGTATTATATACCAGATGTTTAGAATCCATAACATGAAATTAGCTATACATGCTACTTAGTAAACAGTGGAATACAGAAACAAAAGAAGTGTTACACATAAGAACTGGAATTTTTTTGTTTTGTTTTTTTGCGGCAGGGATTTGTTCTTGTTGCCCAGGGTGGAGTGCAGCGGCACCATCTTGGCTCACTGCAGTCCTCCACCTCCCGGGTTCAAGCAGTTCACCTGCTTGGGCCTCTTGAGTAGCTGGGGTTGCAGGCATGCGCCACCACACCTGGCTAATTCTGTAGTTTTAGTAGAGAAATGGTTTCTCCATGTTAGTCAGGTTGGTCTCCAATGCCTGACCTTAGGTGATCTGCCTGCCTTGGCCTCCCAGAGTGCTGGGATTACAGGCGTGAGCCACCACACCTGGCAGGACAGTAATTTTTTCACCTATTTTATGACATGAAATATTAATTAGCCATAAGTCTTTTTTTTTCCATCTGTATATATATTTTTGTCAGTGAGTAGAATAATGTTCCCCTTATTTAAAACATCTTTTCCTGTAACAGGAGAACCTATTAAGTCTTGTGGTTTGATCACTCACTGGTTTTGAGAATAGATGAGTCATCTCTAGAGCTTCATGGTAGGCCGTTCACCTTCAGTCTGTTACTCATAGTAAAAAAACTCCACTGAGTTTAAAACCCATGAATCTGCTTACTTTTTATAATCTCAATATTCAACATTTGCTCACTATTTCATCTCTATTTGTTGGCCCGGTTTTTCTGTATTTACTTTGCCCAAACTGCACATTATGAAGATGAATATTTGAATGTAGATTCTTTTTGAGCCCCTCAAGGGCATATTGACATGGATTTAGTTAATTCTAGTCATTGATGTTGAAGAATTGTGAAAACACTCACTGGTAGAGGTGATTCTGTGGAGGCTATCCCATCCCAGTGGAATGTTAATGCTTTACCAAAATGTGTTAGATGCAGTAGACAGATGTTTCTGTCTTGGGGGTTTAGGGCACAACATTTCTGAGGAACTCTGACTCAATCTGTCCCTTCTCCTTTCACAGGGCAGCAAGGCGAACCCCATCCCTACTCACTGGAGCTCAGCTTTGATTTTTAACCTCCCTTCCCCACCCTTCCAGAACACACACATTCCCATTCCAAAACTGATTTTATAAAGACATTTTAAACATAATGATGCAACTTGGTGTGCACTACGCGGCAAATGTACAGGTGTTTTTTTTTTAATTGTTTCCAAGACCGGGACCTGGATTTAAGATGTAATTTTTAAAATTTCTATTTCTATTTTTTCTGCAGCAGTTGGGTTAGAGGAGGAGGAGCCTTTTAGCCTCTCATAAACTGACCTCTCTACTTCCTCGTGTATTTTTAAGATTGATTGATGATGTGGAAAGGGCTTTGCTTGTCTGCTACTGAGAACTTTATCCTTGCGGTTTTTGTGGAAACTGCTTTTGGAAAGAGAAAAGAAATGAACTTTACTGACTTGACATTTTTGCACCTCCCGTTTTTCTAATCTGGGCTATTTTTATTTTTGTTTTTTTACAGTGAGATTTTTTTGATCTTCAGCTACAGTAAGTTATTCCAATTTTTTTTTAACATTTTTCCTGACTTTCCGCTGATTTCCTTTTTATTGTTGTTACTAGTTACTATTACTTATTATTATATTAATACTTATGATGGTGATGATGATGATGATAATGACACTGATGATTTTTAACCGGATTAAAATCGAGTTTTTCTGAATGTTTCTAAGAATTTCTCCGGCCTCCTGATTGACTTTGGAGTTTTGCATCTTGGGAGAGAAAGCGAAGGCATTAGTATTTTTAAGTGGATTGATCACATAAACCTTTTCTCTCCCAACCCCACCCTTGCCCTCATCCCCTTCCCCACACTGAAAGAATTTTACTGGCTGTTAAGTCTATGACCTTATTTTTCCTGATCTTTAACTTAACTGTTTTAGAGCATCTCTGGACGTCTGTATTTTTAATTTTTTTTATTTTTGTTTTTTTATTTTTAATCTTTCATTTGTTAAATTTTTAAACTGTGCTGCAATAAAATGTGTGTGGTACTACTTAACACTATGATCGTGATGGCATTTTCCCTGAAAGCCATCTTCCTCCTGTTTCCCTTGAAATCCCATCCTGCTTTTCCTGTACACTACCCCTCACAAACCACAAGCTGCAGCAACATGGATGCCCAGCCTGGAGCAGCAGCAGCCAGGATGACCTGGAGCCAGGGGGGCCTTCGGAACAGATGCACACCCTTCCTGGGTGATGGTAAGAGGTGTGAGGTCCACTTGGATTCATTACAAAGACTAGGAAATAAACCCGTTTAAGTTTAGTTGATGTGTATAGGTCATAGCCTCTGGAAGTATTTGGACTCAGTGTTTTGTGTGTGCATCTTGAGGTGTTTCCCAAGGGGGACCACCTCAGTTATTTGTAAACTAATGGAATTTGAGTTTCTAATTAACTTGGGCTGATTTGAACATTTTGGATTCTTGGAAAGAGCAGCTGAAGTTTAAAATGAAGGTGGCTTGTTTTAGTGATTATCAACAAGATAACATTAAGAAGTCCTTTTTCTTAGATTATTACAATTTAGTAAGCATTTTCTGTCATTCGACATATTTCTTGGGTTTGTGACATTTTTGGATTGTATTCTATTTAGACTTTTTATCTGATTAAAATTTCAAGAGTCAAACCATAAGAGATATGACATAGTATTAAAATGCTGTCTCACTGGAGGGGTAGGCTTTTTGACCTGAGAAAGCAGGGAAATCTGTTTAAACTCTACATCCAATCAGGAACTGTCTAAGGCTGTCCCCATTTACAATAGTGACTCAAAGTCCAGCTAGATTTTGGGGACTTTAATGTGTTCCTGATGGTAAGAAGGGAAGAATTCTGTATTATTCACAGGAATGGTGTAGAGGTTAATAAAAATGTGGATAGCTAAAGAGTAAGAATTTTAACAACCCATACTGTTTTACTCACTACAGCAAAATGTTTTGATAACCATTTTAGAGTTGCTCTGATAGATTTCAAGCTGGGGGATAATTTTACTTTAAAATATTTCTATTTTTTGTAGAGACAGGGTCTCGCTATGTTGTCTAGAGGCTGGTCTTGAACTTCTGGGCTCAAGTGATTCTCCTGCCTTGACACCCCAAAGTGTTGAGATTACAGGTGTGAGCCACTGCATCTAACCTGGAGTAATTTTTTGAAGGCGTATTTGGTGCTGTTGTACTAGGGTAAATCACAAACTTGCACCCTTACCGTACTTGGATGAAAAGAGTAAAATCTAGTTAAAGTGAACACCAGAGGTATACTCAAAACAGGATGGGAGAAAGTTAAAGCAAAAGATTCTTGGAGGATATCTAAAAAAGGAATGGGAATCTTTTAATTTTGTTAAATAGGTACAAGCTTTATTGATTCCCTCCATTGTATGAGAGAAGTAGAAATAATGTGCTGCTGTCAGTGTATGGAAGCTGTTCAGTATAGGTATAGTTTGATTTATTCCTTGCTAATTCTACACAGTTACAGGACGTGTTCTGTTTTGGGGATATAAAATACAGGTTTTTTTTTTGTTTTGTTTTTTTTAATTTTTTTTTTTTTCTTGAAGATATGTTCAATAGAATGTAGTTTATTATGTTTTAAGGGCTTCACAGCTGGAATAATGTCAATATATGATGAAAGGCAAACACAGGCCGTTTTGAAGCCTGCAGAAATAAGCTGAGGGTGTTGGTACCTGCCTATAAACCTGTAGTCCCAAATAATTGCGGTCTGAGGCAGGAGGGCCCCTTGGCCCAGGAGTGTAGAGGCTATAGTGTGTGATGTGAATATCAGCTGTACTCTAGGCATGAGACCTGAGACCCCATCACTATTTTTTTTTGAGACAGCCTTGCTCTATTGCCCAGGCTGGAGTGCAGTGACAGGATCTTGGCTCACTGCAACCTCTGCCTCCCAGGTTCAGGCTATTCTCCTGCCTTAGCCTGCCAGGTAGCTGGAACTACAGGCGTGCACCACCATGCTTGGCTAATTTTTGTATTTTTAGTAGAGACGGGGTTTCACCGTGTTGTCCAGGCTGGTCTCGAACTCTTGACCTTGTGATCTGCTTCCTAAGTGCTGGGATTACAGATGCTAGCCACAGTGCCCTGCCTTAATTTTTGTATTTTTAGTAGAAACTGGGTTTAGTAGAGACGCCATCCATGGTGGCCAGGCTGGTCTTGAGTTCCTGAACTCAGGTGATCCACTGGCCTGGGCCTCCCAAAGTGCTGGGATTAAGGGTGTGAGGTACCATGCCCAGGGAGACCCTATCCCTTTTTTGTTGTTGTTGTTGTTGTTGTTTTTAAAGAAAGTAGGCGGGGCGTGGTGGCTCATGCCTGTAATCCAAGCACTTTGGAGGCCAAGGCGGGGGGGATCACCTGAGGTCGGGAGTTCAAGACCAACCTGACCAACATGGTGAAACCCCATCTTTAAAAAAAAAAAAAAAAGCATGCAGAAATGGATACCTAAGTAACCCTAAGAGGTCAGGGGATTCTTTTTTCCTTTATTTACAATTTTAAATGTATAAGATTTCTTTTTTTTATTTACAATTTTAAATGTATAAATTTATCTCCTTGACCTTAATCACATAAGGGGATCCTTTTAAGAGAGGTAGGGTACTGGAATGAATTTTAAGGCCAGGTAATAAAAATTCGAATGCCATGCAAAAGAGTTTATGTTTTATTCAGAAACCAATGGTGAGCCTTTTCTTTTTTAAAGATGGGGTTTCACCATGTGATGGCCAGGCTGGTTTTGAACTCCCGACTTCAGGTGATCCACCCACCTCGGCCTCCCAAAGTGCTAGGATTACAGGTGTGAGCCACCGCGCCTGGCCTGTGGTGAGCCATTTTAGGAAAGATTCTAAACTGGAAAGTGACATCAAATTTTCCATTTATTTTTTGTTTTTATTTTTTGAGAAAGGGTCTTGCTCTGTCACTCAAGCTGGACTGCAGTGACATTAACAAGGCTCACTGGGAGATATTAAAATCCAAGGAAGACTACTACATATAAGGGAGTTAGTAAAATCCAAGAAAGAATGACCTGGCCTGGACAAAGGTAATGCTAAAGTGATTAGAGATTAGGAGGTAAATTTAGGAGCATCTCAGGATGCATTTGATAAGATGGTCAAGAAGACAGATTTGGCATGATTGCTGGTTTCTAGCTTCTGTTTGGGAATGTAAATGAAGGAAGCAGATAATAGATTGAGAGGGTGGGAAAAAGTATTTTAAACATCTTAGAGATGTTCAAGAACATTGAAGTATAAGGTATTAAATATTCAAGTATTTATTTAGAAAATCATTAGATTTGGGCATATAGAGATGAACAAAACATGTTCCCTGCCCTCTTTGATATTATACATCATTGAGGGAAGAAACAAAGTAAACACATGGCATTTTCGCAGTCAGGATCAATAAAGGAAAAGAACAGGATGAATGAGAAGATAGCAAGGGAACCAAAATTAGAACATGAAATTTGGGGGATGCTGCCAGGGAAGGAACCTTAAAGTAGCTAATGATGAAGCTGAATCTGTAAGAAAACCATCTGTGAAAGCACAGATGAGTGGAAAAAAACCTGACCACCAAGTAATAAATAATACTGGAAAATAATTACCAAGAATACATAGATGAAGGATGGAGTTGGAGAGGTAGGCAAGGACCAAACATTCACGGGACCTTAGAGGGTCTTAAGATCTTATCTTGGGCACAGGTAGAGTCTGTTGAAGGATTTTCAAGAAGAGATCTGGTTCATCTTTTGGCTGTTGTGTGGGGAATGTTTTAAGAGGGTAAAAGTAGGGCAGTAAGTTAGAGACCTATTAAGAGTAGGCCACTGCCTCAGTCTCTTGAGGAAAATAGTCATCACAGGCCTTACAATAACTTGTTCTGGTTTTTCAAATGAGTTTTTATTGTGTGTATCAATGAGCAAAATAAATCTGAGTAAGATTGATCAGCCTCTAGGAAACTACTAATTTCTGTCGCACTTTGTTGGGTCAAATAATGGCTTTCTGATTTGAAAGAAAAAAGTAGCAGAACTTTAATTTCTCTCTTACAGAATATTCTAAACACTTGACTATGTGTCCACTACTGGGTTTTTTTTTGTTTGTTTTTTTTTTTTTTTTTTTGAGATGGAGTCTTGCTCTGTCACCCAGGCTGGAGTGCAGGATCTCATTGCAACCTCCGCCTCCCAGGTTCAAACAATTCTCCTGCCTTAGGCTCCCAAGTAGCTGGGACTACAGGCGTGCACCACCACGCCTGGCTAATTTCTGTATTTTTAGTAGAGACAGGGTTTCACCATATTGGCCAGGCTGGTCTGGAACTCCTGACCTTGTGATCCACCTATGTCGCCCTCCCAGAGGGATTGCAGGCGTGAGCCACCGCGCCTGGCCGTGTCCACCACTGTTAAAGTTCTTAGTTTGTGTTTACTTAATCATCATCAAAACCTTGAGTTAGGAGTAAATACTGTTATCATTCGTGCTTTAGAGGTGAGAGTATTGGAGTACAGAATTTAAGTAATTTGCTTAAAGTTAGACTGCTTAAATGGTTTAGCATGGATTTCACCCAAGGAGTAAGGCTGCAGATGTCAACACTTAATCTTAGTAGACTCTCTTGATCACTTTGGTATGTTGAGCATTCTAGAAAAACAAGTTTTAGTTTGGTTAAATTTCCAAAGAAAACTTTGGACTTTAATTTTTAAATTTTTAAAAGTAAATATGGCCGGGCACGGTGGCTCAACCCTGTAATCCCAGCACTTTGGAAAGGCTGAGGCAGGTGGATCACGAGGTCAAGAGATCGAGACCATCCTGATCAACAGGGTGAAACCCCGTCTCTACTAAAAATACAAAAATCATTAGCTGGGCATGGTGGTGCGTGCCTGTAATCCCAGCTACTCAGGAGGTTGAGGCAAGAGAATTGCCTGAACCCAGGAGGCGGAGGTTGCGGTGAGCCGAGATTGCGCCATTGCACTCCAGCCTGGGTAACAAGAGTGAAACTCCATCTCAAAAAAAAAAAAAAGTAAATAATGTTGATATATTTTTGCCCTTGAATTCATAACACCTTCAGTGTCTTGAAGATATGTGCATGTGCAAGACAGTACATTGTTTAGGTAGATGTATCTTGGTGGTAAAATGTTACTGTGTGTGTGATTGCATTGTTAATAGGGAAGCAAGCATGCAGCAGTTTATGCCTGTAATCCCAGAGGCTGAAGTGGGAGGATAGCTTAAGTCCAGGAAAGCCTGGTAAAATAGCAAGATCT